ATTACGTGAATTGCGTTGGATTTTACGACCAGCGTTTATTGGCACAATTCTCGAACACGTACGAATTTATTCGCATATAAAACGAATCATTCTGAGCTTTGTGATTGGTCGAATTTTTCGACCTATAAACATGTAAAATTAATTATGATCATACGACGAAATATGTTCCGTTTTGTATGCAAACAAATAAAAAAACTTATNGCTATAGTAGATTCAAGAGAGTTGAAATAAAAAGTTACTAGTTACCGATAAAATATAACTAAATAAAGTTAAAAGATAAAAGACTAAAAATGTAACTAGATAAAGTTAAAATTATTTAACTTTTTAACTTTTTAACTTAACTTTTATCTTTTTAACTAGACACTACCCAACCCTGAAAAAAAGAATTTATTATATGTCAGCGCATCGCGTTGCAAGAAAAAAAGGGACCGTGAAGTTTCCAAGACGTAACAGTTGCAATGGCCAAAATTTACAAGTTGGATTTTGAATTGTTGTCTTATCCACTTTATTTATCAAATATGGTCATTACTGTGCAATTTCTATTTATCTCCAAATCTAAAAAACTGACTCAATGAAAATAAATTTTCGAGCGACAATGAACTTATTGATGTTAATAAATAGTTATACGTTGGTGAGCTGTTACACAAACGTTATGTGTGATAATGAAGCGGTGCTTGAAATTTTTTCTAAAGAATGAAATTTGTTAATGACAATAGCGCAGTATAATGTTACTGTCACTATATATGTGTAGTTTTGGATATTTATCAATCACTCTACTTAACGTTAAATTCGAGTACAATCAGGATATTTGTATATTTATTGTAACATCAATGATCAGTACTGCGCCTAGATTTATCTTGGCTGTATATTTTTTAATACTAAATCGACAGTGGCGTTCAGTATTTTTTTTTAGTTGCTATTGCAACTTTAATAGCCATGCCAGTAATGAATCGTTTGTAAACTCTCATCTGGGAAGTTATAAAAATAATGCAATCTACTATTAGTCTATTAGTCGACTGTAAGTTGATTTAAAGTTGACTAGAAGTAGACTTTGAAGTAACTAGAGATCGACTATGGGTCGACTATAAGTTGACTTTAAGACGACTACACGTCGACGAAAAGTTAATTCCCACATAGCACGTAATATTACTGCAATATCACAGTAATATTGTTTTTCCATTGCAATATTACACTCTAATATAGTAGAAATATTATCGTAACGAAATATTAATGTACTATCACAGTAATATTAAAATACCGCTGAACTGCATCACAGTAATATTATGGTGATTACTACAAAAAAACCAATGGCACATCGCCTTATAAGAGGGAAAATTTAATTCGAGATTTCACTCAAATTAATCTCTCTCTTTGGAGGCCTGATTCAGTTTATCGATTAACTGATTAACTCGATGAAAGGTATCGGGACCCGGAAGAAATCTTGAGGTGTATGGTAGCATTCGAACTCGAGATTTTCATATTCGCAGCCGCTACACTCAGTCCGAGAAACCACTTTTTCTTACTAACAATAAAATATAATTATGGTTATCTACTTATTCTCAAGCTATACTATACACATTTCATTTATTATTTAATTAATTTATTATTTTATTAAAAATATTAAGATACAATGTACCTGTAACAATGGATAAAAATATTTCTCTTATTATTATTATTATTATTATTATTATTATTATTAAATATAATTTAAAGTATATTTTTATAACGCAAACAAATTTTTTGTTAACATATACTGATTATTATAGTCAATTCTTAATAAATATATACCAAATAATGTATAAAAATATGTATACGCATTTATATGTATCACTTTTATTACATAATAATAATTATATAATAAATAATTATATATTATAGTAAAAATATTATACACACAGTGTTTTTTGTTGATATAATACATTTTGAAAACAAAGCGTTTATGTTTAAAACAAAAGTTGAAAGGTGTTTGCAACAACGTAGCAAAAAAATATCCCAAACAACACGAAGTCAACTAAAAAGGTGACTATAAGTTGACTGGAGAAATCAAGAGTCGACTTTTAAATCAGCCTTAATGTTGACTTATACGCTGTTTTCCTTTTAGAAAACATAGTTTACACATCCGACACAAATCGCCACATGTCGCTTTTTATTTATATTTGTGAACGACCTCAATCGACACTCTTTAACTATTCTCGGGAAGAGAGTCAAACTGTATGTTAATCTGTGTCGAGTTGTGTCTTTTAAAAAGAAAGCAGCCATAGTCGACTAAAAGATGACAAATGTTCTAAAAATAGTCGACTATTCGAGTTGACTTAAAGTTAACTAGAAGTAGACTTTGAGTTAACTAGAGGTCGACTATGAGTTGACTATAAGTTGACTTTAAGACGACTACACATCGATTAAAAGTTAACTCGAGTATTACTAGCTCAACCAATCAAATAGGTATTATCTAGATAGGTAACGTTCTACCTTTTTATTACCGACCACAGACTAGAAGAGAACCACGATTTTGATTGGAATAACGTTCGCATTTTAGATGAAGAGCACTCATATACGAAGCGTCTTGTCTCTGAGATGCTCTATATTAAGAAACAAACGGCTGGTCTTAATTTACAGAGTGATACGGAGTTACTTGATAACTCATATTTGCCTTTGGTTAAAAGTTTTAAAAAACTTTAATCTATTGGGTAAATTTTATATTATAATTTGTTGGGTTTAACAGTAGGTGTCTCTGTCTCTCTATCTTTTCTTGCTATTTATTTGTTGACTTTCCGTTTATTCTCGAGTCAACGCTGAGAGTAACAACACGTAGAAATTTATACTTGTGTCTATTATGTACGTGACACATACCGCACATGTCTTTTGAATTGTAATAATTTTTGACTGTAAGTAATCTTGTTTTTCTTATATTCTGATCCTTTATACTAGAATTTTATATATATTATTAATTTCAATATTGTTACAGTTTGTTAATTATTTCTGAAGAGGATCCCAACCAGGGATCGAAACGTAAAATAAAGAAAATTTTTTACTGAAAATATTTTACACACTACTTACTGTGTCCCAGGCTCACATTGGCCGTTTTATTCCAAGTTTTTGTTTTATACATTGGAGCCTTCTACGTTTATTATTTTCTACCTTTTTGTTAACGTATGGCACACTGCATGACTACAAAATATCTTACAGATATCAGTGCCCAATAAGATAAACAAAGTGGAATGTGAACTACTAATGTATAACTAAATAGCTAGGTATTATTTATAGTAACTTAAGGTAGTACAAATTTTATTTAAACATAAATATTATTTATATAAATAGAAGTATTTTTTAAATATAAATATTATTAAATAAGTATTATTTACATCTTGTATCTCTAAAAAAAGTATTACTATACAAATTTTTCTCTACAAAATCTATTGTACAAAAGAAATAATATCAATAAGTAGTGCCAAGTAAACTCTTGTATATTTATACACTGTTACAAAATGCAAAATATTATATAAAACTGTGTAAGTTGTTTATACGTTGTAAAATATAAAATATTCTAAAACAGTACGAAGTTTAAAATATTGTGACCAGAGTACTTTTTTTATATAAAGCACTTATCGATATAAGAAATGATCTTGCCTTGGAAAATCTTAAACTATGTCAAATCATACGTGTAAATTTCGCTTTGTGTGAAAAGTCAAAAACTCATGTGAAATTTGAAAATAAAAAATATTTAATACAAAAAAACTTGGCGCGGCTGTACTGTGTTAATTTAAGGGTGCTTTCCAGTTACGTACACAGGCGACAATATGTAATACATGAAAATAACATATCAGTGTGTCTCATTCAGACTAATAAACACAATATCGCCTGTGTAAATAGCTGGAAAGCACTTATTGTTAGTTTTCGGTGCAGCCCCGCCAAGTTTTTTTGTACTCTCAAAATATACTTAAAAAATAACTGACGCAACGATCACAATGATTAATTGACACTTACCGAAGCTGGAGGTGTCAGATTTAGGGATGAGCATATGATATCGATATATGATATTTGATATTTTAATATCGATATTCTGTTATTGATAATATCAAAAAGATATTGAAAATTTTATTTGATATTGAATATCGCATTGTTTGATTGGAAATTATTGAATATATATATATTATATATATTCAATAATTCCAATATTATCAATAACAGAATATCGATATTACAATATCAAATAAAATTATCGATATCTTTTTGATATTATCAATAACAGAATATCGATATTAAAATATCAAATATCATATATCGATATCATATGCTCATCCCTAAATCTGACACCTCCAGCTTCGGTAAGTGTCAATTAATCATTGTGATCGTTGCGTCAGTTATTTTTTAAGTATATTTACACATAAATATATACGTTAGCGCGACGACAAATACAATTATGTTTAAGTCGACTTTAATTCACCTTTTAAAGCCATCTAATTGTCGGCAAATAATCGATTCTAGTCAACTTATAGTCGACTTTTGAAAGTCAATTTTAGTCGTCTGCTAAAAGTCAACTTAAAGTCAATTTTCAAAAGTCCACTATAGGTTTACTAAAAAAAGTCGACTATAAGTCGACTATAAATCGACAATCAGTTACTCGTGTTGTGTGGGATGTGAACGTATGATACTTATTTACGCGGCACAAAATAAGCTTGTAAAAATTCAATATTTAATTTTGTATATTTTTTTATTCTGGCTGTAGAAATATTTCATTTTTATTATAACTTTTTAAATTAAAAAAATAGCATTAAGAAGATGATTTAAAGAAAGATGGATAAATGTTGACAATAACGAACCACAATGATTTTGATCTTGATATATGTCAAGAACACTGTCCTGAGCAGTCTTGAAGTAGATTTAGCCGTTACTCGTTGTTTGTTAAAAAGTTAACAACAAAAGAAATTTCAAGTTTTCAAGTTTAGGTTTTGTTCATTAAAAAAGTATTCAAAACAAATATAAGTACATAAACGATTGTTAAAACTCCAAAAATACAAAATTTAGGAAAATGTAAATCCATGTAAAACTTTGCTTCGGATTTAGCTGTCACTTATTGTAGCAAGAGATTTTCAACTTTTCGCAAATTGAGGTTTAAATGTATGTGTCCAATTTCTTGTTTGTGGAGATCTCTGTAGTGGGGGGGTCTGTCTTAACACACACACTTTCCACGTGAAGTGATCTTTTGCATGAGTTTGCATTTTTCCAAATTTTCACGGCGTATAACTTTTTTCCTTCTAAATGTTTAGTATAGAGGAAGATGCTCCTTGACCTTGACATATGTTAGTCAAATGTATATTGTGTCGGAAAAGAAGAGTTCAATTATGGAACTTCTTTTGTTAATAACTTTTTAACAAACAACGAGGGACGGCTAATATCTTTTGATTGGTACTTGAGGATACGTCCTTGATAACATATGTCTGAGTCAAGATCATCAAGTCTGTTATTGTTAACATTTATCAAAGGATAGGTGTTACAAAATTATTGTGAAATATGGAATAATATGTAATGCATAGAAAATAAAACGATATAGTTGGTTTTATTATACACAATAATTTAACAATACAGACATTCATTTTTACTTATCATAAGTTTTAATGACGCGAAGATCAGTTAATTGCGATACATTTTTGTAATATTTATAACTTGAATCAAGACATACTTTATACAATAAAAATATAAAAACAAATGTGATTATAACAAAATAATAACTGTAAAAAACTAATTATTAATATTTATTAATTTTTAATGTTTTATGTTCTTTTAAAGTCTAAAAATCTTCCATTGACAGTCTATACATTTTTCTATACATATTTATTATAATCTTCCTGTAAGTCAGTGATGTACAAATTGTTTGACTTTATGTGATTTGCTGCAATAAAATAGTACAAAGTAATAAGTGCCTCGATAACGGAACTAAGAATGCGGTTTAACAAATAAAATGATCCAGATTCGAGATAACATTTTTTTGTATAAAAGTTTTTCTACCACTTACTATCTGAATCTGTTAGCTGATATCAAGGTATATAGACAATGTGACGGAGGCGCATGTATGTTTTCTGGCTCGCCTGTCGTCAAATATACCTTGCTTGCATGGCCATATGACCAAATCATTTGCGTGTTTAACTCAATACCAGCTAACAGTTTCAAGTAGTAATTGATGAGAAACTTCAACAAAAAAATATAACTTTGACCATAACTCAATTCTAAGATCTAAATAATTCTATTTGCGTACAAAGCGCGTTCTTAATTAAGATCACATAAAATAGCATAGCTTTATGTATAGCATAAGTTCATCTCAACCAATGAGATTCTAGTATAATTGTATGTTATATTCTGTAAATCAATATGTGCGATATATATGCGATTTTATGTTAGATGTTTATTAGTCGTATGGTATATATATGTAATATCTTGTGTACGATAGCACTTTTGAGACATTTGGTATTCACTCTTCGCACATCATATAAATCCAGACAATTCATAAATTGTTAACTTACTCACAGATCGCAGCAAGCACATACTTTAGAGGAATGTATGGTATTTTTTGCAATAAAAAATTAAGACAATTGAAGATGTTTAGACTTTTTTCGCATAATATAAAATATATATAAAAATAATATATGAAGCTATTAGTGAAGGAACATAATGTTATTTTTTCTAGAAACATTCTGAAATTTTCGACATTTCTATTAGAAACGATTTAAAAAAAGAGAGATTTATCTTTTATTATAAAACTATCACTAAACTATAATTCTATTATTTGTACTAATTATATCTTCAAATCCCAACTTTTTACCATCATTATTGCAAAAAAAGTTTAATATTAGTGTAAATTTCCCACCCGAATTTGTTTATGGATACTATTAAAATATGCATTGCATTAAAGTAAAGTTTTCAGAAAGTTTATTATTCTTCTTTTTCGAGAGATTTCTTAAATATTATTTTGATTTTTTTTGATACTATTACTGGAGTTTTTTCTTCTAAATACTATTAAAGAAAACTTGCCTTCTTTCTTCGTTTCAAGTACTTACTATTGTGTGATCTTCCATAGATATCTTCATTTGATTCATCATCGTTTAAATGTATTCAGCAAACATGATCCAGTAGGTGACATTCAGTACAGCAAACAGAAAGGGAAAGAAAATACGAGAGACGCGATCGATGTTCAATGCTCGTATTCGCGCCCTTTGAGCCGGTGTGGGTCCAGGTGGTGGGCCAGCCGGTGATGATTTCTGCGATCGGCAGGATAACAACATTGCGTTTTCCTGTGTGATAATGATCACAACTTGTATCTTCATTATATAGACAGCCTCCTGTACCTCAGAAAGAATAAAATATAATTTAAAATAAGAAATAATAATAGTATTAATCGTAATTTACACTTTATAAGTTATTGCGTATCTACAGCACTTATTAACCGAATTATTTTTCGTAGAATAGTGTAATATCTAAAGAACTGTAGATGTATATTTATATATAATATTGAAAAATACAGTACTCAAATAGCAAATCTCAGTCTAGAAAAGCAGTTCATTTACTAATATAACAAAAACTAGCAATTCATATTTTAAACAAATGCTTGTTTAATTTATTACTTTAGCTCTTGTTTTTCTTATTCGAGGCACAGGAGTGGTCTGAAAATCAGCCTGAGATCAATTGTAACATCATAACAATCTTTTTTTATTATACAAAGTTAGAAACCACATATAAAATACTAAAACGTTTTTATCAGATTGTGTACTTATTGTTTTTGATTAATCAAGATTAGTGCAAGTGTCACATTTTATCTTGTTACTTTTTACTTGTTACAATTAACCTCAGCATATAAAAAAATATCATTATCATCATCACCATCGTCATCGTTATTGTCATCATCATCATCATCATCATCATCATCATCATCATCATCATCACCATCATTATCATCATCGTCATCATCATCATCATCGTCATCGTCATCGTCATCGTCATCGTCATCGTCATCGTCATCGTCATCGTCATCGTCATCGTCACCGTCATTGTCATCGTCACCGTCACCGTCACCGTCATTGTCATCGTCACCGTCACCGTCACCGTCACCATCACCATCACCATCACCATCACCATCACCATCACCATCACCATCACCATCACCACTACTGCCGTCGCTGCCGCCGCCACCGACACCACCATCATTATCATTACTATCACCACTATTATCATCATTATCATCATCATCATCATTATCATCATCATCATTATCATCATCATCATTATCATTATTATTATTATTATTATTATNATTATTATTATTATTATTATCATCATCATTATTATCATCACCATCACCACCTCAACCACCACCACCGCCACCACCACCACCACCATCACCACCACCACCATTACCACCACCACCACCACCACCACCACCACCACCATCATCATCATCATCATCATCGTCATCATCATCATCGTCATCATCATCATCATCATTGTCATTATCATCATCATCATCGTCATCATCGTTATCATCATCATTATCATCATCATTATCAACATCACTATCATTATCTAGACGTTACTTTGGCAGCGATGTCAAAGATCTTGTCAAGCTTAGCCGAATCTGCAGTGCTTGAAGAAGGCAGCGATGGTGGCGGCGGCGGCGGTGGAGACGCAGATTTTGCAGGTGTATCTGAATCGCCAAGGACGATGTTCACCAGACAATATTCCATCAATGCCATAAATACGAATATAGTGCAGACTGACATGAAAGCATCCACTGCTTTCAAATATGAAACAGGCGGTAACGAGGCTTGACTTTTCGCATGCTGAGTCGACAAAGTGAGTAACGAGGTGACTCCTAAAGTAACTCTGGCAGGTGCGGCCTCAGGTTTTATCCAAAACGATACCCACTGCGACCAAAGTGTAAGATATAAGAGCCAATGAATTAGAGAACACTTGAAAGTTACGAAAGAACACTGTATATATTTGAACTTACCGACATGATGACGATTAAACAAGTTGGCACGTAAGTATGGAACAAGTAATAACCGAGACGTCGCTTTAGCACGAATACGACTTCGAGACAAGTAAAATTACCTATATGTGTAAAATTATCTATATGTATAAAATATGTATAAAAACTTATAACATAGCTTTTAACTAAATATTGTATCTGACATTCAAATTAAACTAAATTAAGATGATATCAATGCATAAGTGTTTAATAAAAAATGTTCTTACGTTTTACAATAATATTATTATTGCATACTCATACATAATATCGCAATATAGATAAAACCAAATAAAATCTGCTATTTAAAAATAATTATGTATACTATGTGCGTAGACCAAAAGAAGTTCGCTGTAAGGAATGCAGATTTGATTAGATCATAAATTATCTCTTTTTTATAGTGTATTTTTTTCTTAATATTTAACCGTAATATTTAACTATTTATCGAAATGCAATACATTTTGCAGTTTTATTTACACGATACGCTTACGACATTGATGTAAAACTTTAAAAGTCGGTAACTCGGCTGCTGTTAGTCTATTTTATTCTATTTGCTTTCTTGGTTCTATACTAAGGCAAAAAAATATTTTCCTTAAAAGAAAAAATAAAAAACCAAAGAGCCTATAGTCCAAGTTGAAAGTGAACAATCAAAACAAATTACAACGCAGTGTATTCTGACCGTTTTGATCAAATTTTATTGGTGATCATCTTCAGCACTGTATACAATGTAAAAAGTAGATAATAGATTAGAAAAGTAATAGAATAGAAAAGTAATAGAATAGAAACATCCGTTAGACAAAAAGATACATACAAAATATTTGAATAAATATATACGCACCTAACTCGACAAGTCATCACAAAGACCGTTTAATGCGTGCCGGCAAGCACAACGAGCCAAAACAATAGATAACATAGACATACAAAACATAAAAGTATGATATCTACGTATCGGAGATCTATAACAAACAATTAAATAAACAAATAAAGATTGTAAAAATTAATCAATAAAAACGAAAAATTTGAGCTAAAAGAATAAAAGTCAAAATGTGAATATATAAAATAGAAAGTTACTTAATAAAACTATGAGAGATGTAATAAATAAATAAATAAAAAATAAAAATAAAAACGTAAATAAATAGAACTTACTTCTAATTGTAAAATTAAAAACCGATTGTGGAATGTCACAGTACTCGCCAACACACAGGGAAACAGAACAAAGCATGACTGTCTTACAAACCAAATAATACACATATGAGAGATGTCGGAGAATAACGCATGAAAATCAAACTCAAGACTATGAGAGAGAGAGGAGAGGAAAAACAACACGTGATTAAAGGCACGTGATTAATCAGGTTTCTTAAGTAAGAGTGTAAATAGCATGAAAAAAAGAAGCTCAGTATCTTCCATTAAATTAATACCTGCCCTTTGCGTTTTTATGTGCAATATTTCTGAGATTAGCCTTTTGTGATAAAATTCTGTGTCTAGAATTTCAACGTTATCCCATTGAAAATCATGACCTAAATTGCTACGGTGTCGATTAACAACAGACTGTCGTTTATAATTCTAATAAAAATTACGTTGATGTTCTGTTAACTTGGACCACAGGATCTTTGGTTCTTTCTTTTTTTCTTTAATTTATTGCATCGAGTTATTTAAATATTACTTAAAATTCTCCTTGCTTTTGTACCATCTCGCGAGACTTATTTCAATCCACGCATAGTAAGTGTGTATGTTACTTTAATATTGCGAAGAGCATTTAACTGAGTTTATAAAACATGTGTGAAAAACAAAAAAACAAGTTATTTATGAGATTTGAGAATCATTTATGTCAGTTATTTACCAGTAGAATAGACTTGCGTGCAGTCAGCTGTGTAATTTTTAACAAGCTGCAACTGGGGCAATTCAATATTTTCATCTACGACAAGTGGGACATCAGGATCCCATTGAAAGATCATTTCATCTGTTGTGTGCGACACTGTTGACCGAGTTGTTTTATTTTCAAGTAAAAAAAAATGCGTTTGATATAAAAAGCTACAAAAACTAAGTTACTAATAATATAATATATTGTGTGTTTATTTAAATAGCCGTTAGAAATGCTTGGATATATGTAAGAAGATTACTAAGTCCAAAACAACGCATAGATAGCGACAGTAGTATTACATTGCGTGCTATTGTCATTGATAAGTTCAATCCTTTAGAAAAAACATCGACCAGAGGCTTATTATTACGTAGTGTTTGTGTAACGGCTCACCAAAGTATAACAATTTATCAATATTTATGAATTTACTGTTGTTCAAACATTTATTTTTATCAAGTTAAGTTTTAAATTCGGAAATAAATAGAAGTCGCACGGGACCATATCTGACAAGTATAACATGAATGAGGCAACAATTTAAAATCCAACTCTTAAATTTCGGCTATTACAGGTTAAAAGTGTGATTAAACATCTGGTGCGTAAAATCATTGAAAAAATCCAAATAAAAAATTATGTCTATTTTGACGAGCTGTCAACACACATAAAATACTACGATAATGAGCTAGCATCTGTTATTCATTCTTCTGAAGAACGAAACTTGTCAACTACAGCAATGTGATACTACAATCTATATGTCATTTTGGACTTATCAATTGTCTCTCGTAAAGTAGAAAGTATAATTACTTCTGATTTTATCAGAAAAAGAACTTAATTAATTGTAAACTTAGTATATAATTTTTTACTGATTAATTAAAATACATAGTTTTACATACTATAATAACTTACATACATACTAATAACTTACAACTTTCCATTTGCAGTTTGCATTCTTGCGTATCGTGAGGATAAATAAGAAAATTCATTGCGCAAGAAAGTTTTAAAGTCAATCTGAAATTGTGAATTTTTGTATATAATTTACAAATTTTATAGTTCTCATGAAATATAGTAGTAGTCAAAATATTGTATAGTATATAACTTGTCGGAAAAAATATAATTTGTCAGAGAAACTTACTTCACCATGTAAAGAATGGTTTTGTCCTTATACAACCATAAGTAATGATTTGGTATCGTCATTGTTTGAAAAGTTACCGATTTTGCGTTTTTAAAAAAAGAATCCGGCCGCCACATATTTCTCAACCAATCAACTTCTAATAATCTTAAATTTCATAATAGTATAGTAAATATGCATTCAATATAAAATAAAATACAAGAGAGAAAGAGATTTTATAAAAACATACAAAAAATAAATGTCCCAATAGTGGGACATGTATCAAACGTCAGATATTTATTACAAAAAAATAAGTATTAGAGATATGTAAATATTAATTATAAAATATGTAAATATTAATTATAACTCTTAATAGTTTTAATATTTTTAAAACTATGTTTTTAATTAATAGTTTCTAACTTTACATATATAAAAACTTTATTATAATTATTTCTTTAATAAATGTCTGTTTATCGATATATCCATTATTGAACGTGTACCGTACTAAAATATATTTATTAATGTCACAATCGCCAAAAAAATTCATAATGAATTTGTACCTATACTCGGATGTCATATTTTCTGGCAATCGAAGTCTATTATCTTTCCAAGTTTGAGCAAAGAAAATGTCGGCTGCATACGTCTGTAAACACAATACAATAATTTATCTTATTTTAGAAATAACATATTACAAGAAGAAATTGAGCATATACGCATACACAAAATGCTATTCAACATCCTTATCAACAAAAACAGATGTTGAAAATTTATGATAAAAAAAATTATAATTATATATTTAATAGCAACACAGTTTTATTATATACCATCGAAGTTTCATCAATAGAATCGAGTCCCATTACAGTAACATGAAAATACACGACAGTTGCCTGACCATCTTTCTTGGGAGGTCGCATTTTATCATAAAATTTAGGATCTTCCGGTAAGAGATCGAAGAATTCTAAACTTCTCCTACAAAACAACACAAAATAAGATGTGACAATTCTTTCTTAAAAATATTGCTGCAATATTATTATATTTTTAATATTAATATTATATTGTATGTTAAATATTATTCTATTTTTATGATTTTGTAATCTGAAATTACTTATTTAGTTGCCCGATCGGATAATTTAATTAACTTTTCGTATATTGGAGATAATGTGTATTTTAATTAATATAAAGAAGCTATATATAAATATATTTTACTTTAATCTGTAATGTTTCTTCAAGAGAAGTACTTAATATAAAATCCCAATGTTAAAACACATGAATTTAAATTGTCTACTTACTGGGCATTTGAAGCACAGCTGAAAAGTATAGAAAATAAAACGGATAAAAGCGTCGCAGAAGACATGTCGCTTCCATGTAGTTTCTCCATAGATATATTTTAGCGCATTTTCACGTCACGATGATCAAATTAACATGAGAAAAAAAACAGAAAAGTTCTTGAAACACGAAAAGTAAAAGTGTCGAGATAATCTAGAAACGGAAAGTCCAGTGCGGACTGAAGCTCCGTTCTAATCGACCCGAATGTACGAGGACGGACAGACGACGACTGAGTTCTTGAAACGACTTTGTCAAATCTGCAGAATCCTCATTGCGTATAGACGAGTTCCACGACGATGTGGAGATGGCAAGTAGGTAGTAGTGGCAGTGGTAGTGGTGGTGACGGTGGTAACGGCAGCTGTAAAGGTGGTACACTAGTAGTAGCAATACCTCTCTGCCATCAACCCCACCTCCTTGTCCACTTAACAGAGGTACAGAGGGAAGAAGTAAAGAAGGGTGTAAAGAAGGGGTAACTCTCGCTCATGACGTACACTACAACGAACGATGGATAAAATCTGAAGTATCGCTTCAGTAGGGGGGAAAAGGAAAAAGATAATTTCCTACGGGAAATGTGGGAGATACGGATGTGCCTATGTCATTGGTTTTACGTCACTAAAATGTGTCTCAATACAAGAAAATCAGAGTCTTTCATTTTTACATGTTTATACTTAAGTTTTTCTGACATCACCTAATTTCAAGTTTATAACACAAAGTTCATTTAAAAAGTGATCATTATTATTTAATCAAATTGTGGTTTTTTCAAAATCTCCTTCCAAATTTACCTTTTTAATTTTTCTTACTTTTCTTGTTACCATTTTGCAATGGTGAATTATACTTTTACTTTTTTTTATAAATAGAAATGTCGCAAGATATTACCTAGCTAAATAAAATAACTAAATTTTTAATCTGGATTCTCTAAAATAGTTTTTGCATAATGCATCGTGTTTTTTATTATTTTTTCTTGTTCAGTTCTGTTCCCAAAACTTTCTGATGAAGAGATACTAACTACTTACTATGCCATTCGAAAGTACCACTATGCTGCTCGACATATCGATCTCCGAAAATTGTGCCACGAATAGGAAGGTACGTGTTCGTCTTGTTCGTACAGTGTCGAGTGCCACTTATCAAGAAAATATACACACGTGTTAATATGTAAGTATGTATAAGTATAATTATATGAAAAAAGAAAATAGAATGCGTATATATATGTATATATATATATATATGTAAAACATACGTATGCATAAATATTTATATATATATATATATATATATATATATATATATACATAAAATAAAAGAAAAGGGAAAAAAAATAAATCTACAAAAAATATATATTTTGTTCAAAATTTTAAGTAACATAAAAACAACATATCAATTATGTGATATATACATATGTATATGTAATATATACATATATATATATTTGTATATATATATATATAAGATATATATATATATATATAAGAATTAAAATTAGTACAATGCTATCACATCACATATTTTATTTTTTTATAAACTATATTTGCAAAATTTAGTGATTTACTTATTTGTTTTAGAATCTTCTTACTTCTAAAATCTTCAATTCTTCGTTGCTCTGTGACTTGGAAAAATCAATTTACAAGTAAATCAATTTACAATAAATAATCTCATACAACGATGTTACAATTTTTTGCATCACAGTTGAAAAAGCCTTTACTTACAACTTGATTTAGAACAATTTGTTTATATGTCTGTATTATCTCTATATTTGAATTTTATTTATATTTATAGTTTTTGTTCTTTATTGAGTTTACTGAAAAGTCAAAGGTTTGTTTTTAATTTGCATCTTTACTCTAAATTTATCATATTTAGAACGTCAAAAAGTTGTAAAGCAAGAGTTTACAAGAATTAAGTTGTTTTTTTTTTAATAAATTTTAAGTATATGTATAAATCTATATACCCTATTAAATTTATTATACAATATATTAATTATACTTTATCAGTATTTTATAATTATAATCATTTTCAAATTTATACACACGCGCAAATAGTCAAGGTCTCTTCATTAATAAAATATATACTTTAATATCTTAGTATTATACACACATATTATTAAATTTTAAAATTTTAAAACATTGATATTCTTGTAGGAAACTTCTTTATTTCAAGAAAAAGTGAAACCTATAGAGGAATGTTTTTTGAACCGCAACAATCATATATTGAGTCTGCAATAGCACTAGGTAGCATTGGGAATACTGAAGTGTGCCGCATTGCTCAACTTGCTCTTTGCAAACTTCGTTTTTATAAGCATTAACTTTTGACATTTATCGGACAAGTGCAAACTTTGTGTAATTATAATAACATTGTTTTTGAATAATAAGTTTTTATTTAAATAAATATGATCATTGACATTATTTGACAAAATTATTCGACTAAAATCAGAATACAAATTACAGAATAAAGAATTAAGGCTCATATACTTTAAAACTAATCACAAAATTTACCGGTAGAGCCGATACGCTGGATGTTTTGCGGATAAATAAATATACAGGGTGTATAAAAAGTACCGGTACCGCAAAAAATCTCGAAAAATAAGCATTTTACGAACAAGTGTTTCAGATAAAAGTTGTAGAGTTTAAAAAGATCTATATTTTGATTGCATCAGTGTGACCTTGGATGGCGCCGCTACGGTCAGATCACATCGATTTTTTACAGTAAAACTCTTTTTATTGCAAATTCGTATAGCTTAATTCAAGAACTTTCCAAACCACTATATTATAGCTTATTTTTATTAAGTACTTTTTGAGTTATGAAGGTTGAATATTATAGAGTATTGTCGGTACTTTTTCTACAAAAATGATTTTGATCGATACGAATTTTGTGAGCTCATGATGCGAAACATTGACAAAAAAACGTAACTTCCTATTCAACATAGTTTTTTTTTAGATAAGGTAACATTCGAATAACGAATGAAGTTATCACACTGATAACTTCAATCGATAATACCGACGATATTCTAATATTCAACCCTCATAAGTCAAAAAGTACTTAATGGAAATAAATTGTATTATAATGTTTTGGAGCGGTCTTGAATTAAGCTATAAGAATCTGCAATAAAAAGTAGGATATTTCATTAAACAAATTCAAGGGACCTTGGCGATGTAAGTCAAGGTCAAACTGATAAGACCAAAAATAGATCCTTTAAAATTTTCGATTTACAACTTTTGTTTCAAACACTTTTTTGTAAAATGTCTAGTTTTCGAGATTTTTTAGCGGTATCGATACTTTTTACGCACCCTGTATATTTATTATATAAAGTGTCCAAAAAGTTCTGGGACGGAACTCAAATAAATCTTCAAGAAAGCGTTTTTTTTTTTAGAAAAAATGTTTGAGACAAAAGTTGTAAAGTTTAACCCTTTGCACTCCGAATTTTATTTCAATTTCGTTACCAGCAGCTCCCAACGCTTTTAAGTATTTTATTTGAAAGTATTTTTTTTTATTTTTTAATAACAATAAACCGAGCGTCGGTAACGTGTGCACGACATCTATGTATTTGGACATGAAATAATGTCGAGTGGGACTCGACAATGGAGCTCCTGAGATAAAAACTAATGTCGAGTCACACTCGACATAGGAGTGCAAAGGGTTAAAAATATCTATTTATTGATCTTATCGATTTGATCTTGGATGGCGTCACCAAGGTCAGCTTAAGGTTATATTAATTTTTTAAAATAAAACTACCTTTTTGAATATTTTTGTAGCTTAATTTAAGAACTTTTCAAAACACTATAATAGTAGTGTATCTATAACAGTTCTAACCCAGGAACTTCGAGGAGAGTGCGGGGGATGACGTCACGCGGAAATGTCATCACAGAAAGTGACGTCACGCGACGGCAATATGGCGGCGGACTCAGACAACGACAATATAGCGACTCTAAGGTATGTACTTATATATATGTGAAATATTTGTATATGTAAATAATATTTTTGTAAACAATTAATAAAGAATGAATTATTCAGGCTCTGAAGTTTCTAAACTGAAAAATAGAAATCCGGTTATAAGAGCCGTTTGCAGGATGTTGTGCGGAAATATGCGTATATATACAGGGTGTCCCAGAATTGGTTTAACATCTCTTGTAGACAGGTAGAAGGAATAAAACTGAGGTGAAAAGTCCTATACCATTTTGCTAGATTCGCAATAGTTACCGAGATTTTAATTGCCAAAGATCCGCGAATAAGCGTGCATCGGGCTGTCTTACGCGCGTAGGACAGCCCGGCGCGCTTCACACAATTACATTTTAATATGTATATGTTATAGTATATGCTGTTATATTAGTTCCTCCCATATGTCGCTATGGGTAACACCGTTAGCGCGCGAAACGCGGCGGGCAGTCTTACGCGCGTAAGACAGCCCGATGCATGCTTATCCGCTGATCTTTGTTAATTAAGATCTCGGTAACTATTGCGAATTTAGCAAAATGGTATAAAACTTTTTGACTCAGTTTTACTCCTTCTATTTGTTCACGAGAGATGTTACACCAATTCTGGGACACCCTGTATATACAAGGTATCCCGGAATTGGTGTGACATCTCTCGTAGGCAAGTAGAAGAAGTAAAACTGAGTTGAAAAGTTCTGAACCATTTTTTTCTATTATTTATGATAAAGAAGTAATTATTGAATAAATCAGGCCGATCTTTAGCCAGGTGCACGTCAGTAAACCGCGTGGAGCGCTCACACACACACACACACCAAGTGCGTGGCTCACTGATGTGCGCCTGGCTAAAGGTCGGCGCTGATTGGCCTGACTTACTCAACAATTAGTCCTTTATTATAAATAATAAAAAAAATAGTTCAGGACTTTTAAACTCAGTTTTACTTCTTCTACCTGCCTACGAGAGATGTCACATCAATTCTGGGACACCCTGTATATATATACGTGTTCACATGTAAATTTTTACACATGAGTTTTTGAATTGAAATTTCAATTCTTATAATTATATAGGATGCTAGATTTGCATCACATATATGAGAGACCCCGTATATCCTCCTAACTAATTTCAAAAAATTGCGAAAAAAACTCGTCAGCCAGGAATCGAACCTGGAATCTCCGGCTTTCCGGACCGTCGCCTTTCCTATTCGGTTATCGAGGCACTTGGAGTCTGTCTTGCAATATTCGTACATATATCGAAGACGGTCTAATAATTTAATGACGCCCTTCTTCCACTAGCGTGGTTTTTAACAATTACTAAA